TGATGGGGGTGGTGGTGGTTATGGTGGTGGTCATGATGGTGATGATGATGATGATGGTGGTGGTCGTCACGATGGTGGTGATGATAATAATGGTGGTGTTGGTGGTGATGGTGATGATGATGATGGCGGTGATGATGGGGGTGGTGGTGGTGGTTATGGTAGTGGTCGTGATGGTGATGATGATGATGATGATGATGGTGGTGAGCATGATGATGACGGTGGTGGTGGAGGTGATGAGGATCATGATGGTAATTAATGGTAATGATGGTGGCAGTGGTGATGTTGATGACGATGGGGGGATGGTATTAGTGGTAATGATGATGAGGTGATGGTGGGATGGAAAATGACAGTGAAGACGATGATGATTATGATGAAAATGATGGTGATGATGGTAACAGTGATGACGATTGCTATGGTCTGAATGTTTGTGTCCCCCCACCCCAAATTTTTATGATGAAATCCTAACCCCCCAAGGTGAAGGTATTAGCAGGTGGGGCTTCAGGAGGTGATTAGGTCATGAGGGTGGAACCCTCATGAATGGAGTTAGTGCTTTAATGAAAGAGGCTCCAGGGGGCTCCCTAGCCCCTTCCGCCATGTGAGGACACAACAAGAAGGTGCCAGCTACAAACTAGGAAGAGGGCCAGTACTAAAACACGACCATGCTGATGCCTTGGTCTTGAACTTCCCAGCCTCCAGCACCGTCATCAGTAAATTTCTGTTGGCGAAACATCACCTAGTCTGTACTATTTTGTGATAGTAGGCCAAACGGACGAAGACAATGTTCATGATGATGATAGGTAAGTTTGCTTTGCACCAGCTACCATGACATGTTCTCATTAAATCTTCCCCACAATGTTGTGAGGGAATTGCAGCGATTATCCCCATTTTATAAGATGACAGAGACACAGAGAAGGTGAGTGTCGTGGCCAAAGTCACACAGGAGGGAAGTGAGGGAACAAAGATTTGCACCAAGGTCTCCTTACTTCCCTATCTTGCCCTTCTGTCAAGCTCTTTCTTCACTCAACGTGCATTTTTTTTTTCATGCCTTGTATGCACCCAGCAATGTTCTAGGGCAAAGGTAAGCACATTTTTTTTTTCTTGTAAAGGGCCAGATAATAAATATTTTAGATATCATGGACTAAGTGGTCCCTGTCACAGTCACCTCTGCCATTGCAGTTTGAAAGCAGCCATAGAATATACATAAATAGTTGTGACTATGTTCTAATAAAACTTTATTTACAAAAACAAACAAAAACACACAAAGGACAGGCCAGATTTGGCCCACGGACTGCAGTTTGCTGACCTCAGGTCTAGGTGATGGGATATCAAGCTGTGTTTTGTGGGTGTTGCCTCAGGGGCCAGGGGAAAAATGGGTGAAGCCTGATGGAGGGCTCTGCTTTGATTTCCCATAAATGTGCATTAGCTATGGATTTAAAAGTGGGGGGTGGCTGCTTAAAAAAGACAACACGGTCCTCTCTGGATAACTCCTGGCTCTCTCTCAGGTGAGAGAAGCAAGAGGGTACCTCCCATCTCCCCAGAGATAAGGTGACACATCTGGAATCCACATCTGGAATCTGGGGTCGGTATAGAATCCACCTGGAATGCAGTGGAGAAAGGCAGGTAACTACAGGGGTTTTGTCGCCTGCAAAGGTAGGTATTTCTTCAGCACTGCAGCTGCTTAACAAGAGGTGGGCTTTCCACCGGTCTGAGGCTGGAGAAGGCATCAGATGGGACGGAGGAGCCTACACAGCTTCAGGTTTGAGATTCTGTGACTCTGCACAGAGGTCTTGGGGTGTAGGGACGGGCTCCTTCCAAGAGGAGGCTGCCACCGTGACCTGTGGGCTGTTTGAGACACACTCAAAGCCCACAGCTCCATGATCGCCCAATTCTAGCCTCACATACCATCCCAGCAACAAGGGCCTTAGAGGTGATCCAATCCATTTTACAGAGAGGGAGAAAATGAGTCCCACTCAGGGAGAGGCATGCCCCAGGTCCCACAGCCAGCACGAGGCAGAAGCGGGGCTCCAATCCAGGCCCCCTGGCTTCCAGGCAGGCTCCTCCCATTACAGAAGCCACTCCCTCACAAAGACGCGAAGGAGAATCAGGCTACCCCCTTCTGGCCTCCCTTCCCCTTTCTTTGATCCGTCCTACTTATGGGACCTCCCAGCTCCAGGAGTAACAGAAAAGAAGTAAAACAGGAGGGAAGTCAAGTGAAAGACAAGAGAATAAGCAGAGAAGAGAAAACATAAAAGGAACCTGGGCAGAGCAGAGGAAAGCCAGCCAGGGTCAAGATACACAGACATAGCCTCTGCAGTGGACATCTGAGGGCTTCTCCTCTCTGGAATCCATTCCCAGGCCTTCTGGGTTTGCTTGGGGGAGGACTTCTTCCCCTACTCTCCATCTACGTGGTTAGGATAGGGCTGACTCCACCCCCGGATTCGGGCCTGGGCACGTCTCCCAGAACTCTCCGGCCAGAGACTGTGCCCTTTTGGCACTGGTGCTCGCTTTAGGGACATGCATGAAATTCAAACCAGGCCAGTCAGAGTCAGTGAGATTCCATTTTTGGTCCTCCATCTAAGTTGTTGGGTGCAAAGCACTGTGTCTTATCACGGAGGTTGATTTGCTGATCAGTTTTTCAGCCTGTTTGTTGCCGCTTGGGAAGGAAAAGCCTACCTGAGAATGGGGATGGAAGGAAGGGTTCATTCAGCCCCTGGTATCCTGGTGAATATTTAAAAGCTGGCTCAATGGGGTTGGGAGAAGCCGAGGTTTGGAGCATTTGCCTATTTCCACGGTATAAATTCTCCTTCAACGGCTAACGTCAACCTACCAACCTGATACCCTTGAACACACGGTTAGGAAAGGATGTTCACAATTTGCTCTGGTCCCAACACAGTGCCTTCAGCCTGTCAGTATCTTTTGTGTCCCTGCATTCCACTGGACCTGAAATCAGAGGTCACTAGACTTTTCCATTAGATGAACCGACGCATTCCCTTTTGCTTAAGCCAATTTGAATTTTGTCTGCCACTTACAACCAAAAGGGCCGTAATTTAGACCAGTTCGCTCACCCTTTCCTGTTACATTACACTGGCAGTTCCAAACCAGCCAATTCTCCCAGTAAAAACCATTTTCTTTCCCACTTCTTGGTCTGAGGTCTCCTGACTTCTCATTGTTTAAGCTCAGCCAAAATAAAAACGGGCACCAGAAAGAGATGAATTACCCTTCCAACTAAGTCACAGTTTGGGAACGAATTCAGAACATCGAGTCTGATTTGGGGCCCCCTAGACTTCCCTGGGACCACTATCTTCTGGAGATGTCTAATCGTGCCAATGATGGTGCTTTCGATCATGAAGATTAACCTTCCCGAGCCTCTCTGACATGCAATTAAGGGAAGCATAATCGCATCTAAACAATTTGAATTGGATCTATTTGAATAATTTAATGTACACCTGCAACATTCAATCAATATCTGCTCCCCCCTTGCCTTTTTAAAATAATTAACTTTGTAGAGTTAAGTTACTCTAATTTCCAGCAAGTCTGAAGTGACAAAAGTTCAATTGGTGAAGTCTCGGGGGACAAGATTAGTATCTGCTCTTCTGTTCACCATCTCAAGACTCCATGCATTATTTGTAATTGGTATTAGCGACTTTAAATTCTGATTAATTACAGGAGAGCCTGTTCTCGATGCAGAAACAAAGCCACAAGTCGGGGAATAATAGACCCAATTATTCCCAGGTTGGCTCTCCGTAATAGATTTTATTATCAAGATAGCTCATCTCAGAGGCAGACGCAAAGAAACCCATTTCATCAGACGATACCACCTCTTGAATGGAGACAAACACATTCACGGTTTGGGATAGAGGCAGGTTGGAAGAATTCCGTCCCAGAAACGAGTCTGGGGCTGTGGGCATGGGGTCCCCTGTCCCCTTTAGGACCAAGTTTCTTTTGTAGAGAAACCTTTGTGGGGAGACAGGAGCCTGCGGTGCCCGGAAGGGGGTAGTGATATAAATATCCACATTTTCCCCTGTCAGCTCACTGAGAATGCAGGAGGCCAGAATGGGTGGGGAGTGAAGCAGTGTGAACAGTGAGTTTATAAACGTGTTGGGTCATTTTGGATCACTCTGAGATAACGGGGCTGTAATTAGGAAAGCTCTCTCCCCATCAGGA